GTTCAAACAATAAAATTGACGAGATTTGAAAATCGCGTAATTCCGGGTTCGCGTAAGTCGTGTTTTTCATCCTCATTAGTCATCTATCACTAGTAACCAGTGGTAGTAGCTAGTAAGCAGGTCAGTTAGCCCATCCTGACGAATTCAACTAGAATTAGCCGCGATGGTTTTCAGGGGAACCACGTGGAGGTCGACTGATAGGGTATATTGGTAGTAATGGGGCTATTTGACCCCATTACTAACAATCCCCCTCCCTTTTCCTGGGTATTGTAAGATGCGACTAAGAGAACTTAGCGCTTGACGGATAGGTAGCAGCGTTCCTCTTTAAACATCACCAAAAGCCTAACTACTGTTGCCAACCCGCCTGCTAAGAGTGGCAACTACTGGCAAAACCCCTCAACGAGGAGGCTTATGTTCAACAGTGAACAGTTGTTGGCTGATATGATGATGATTAATATAATACCAGAGGAAGACTTTGTACAAAAGTAGATTGTTTGGGTACCATTGTTCCATTCGTGTTTCAACCGTGAAGCAGTTGTGTTTGCATGGCTGTGCTTCAGTTTGAAGGGTGGGATATGGCGTGAATTTACTGGGTACAGAGGAATAACACCTGAGTCCTTAGGAGTGGCAACGCACGCCCATGATGGGCGAAACAGTATACTCTGTTATGTCCATGGTACTGCTCATGTCTATAGGCGACGGTTACCACTTTCCACCAGGTCGTCAGCTCGTTTGCCATTTTAAGTTGTATAAAAAAAAAGAATGATGACGGGATACAAAATGACGTAGAAGTACTAGTAAATATTTGTTTTTATTTGCCATTTCTTATCTGATCGTCTAGTTGACACGTCACTGTATCGTTCAAATTTAACATTGAAGTAAATTTTTTTATTATCAATTATTTACATAAAATAGATTATAGATCTGTTGACCTTCCGTTTAAATTTTATTTATCTGGTCGCTATTTTTATTACATAGATAATATATATATATATATATATATATATATATATATATATATTGTTAAAATAGATTATACATAGTTCTACGATGTTACTAAGGGTTTACTAATGAAACGTAAACACTAAAATATTTTTTAAATGTAAAATTTTTTAAAAGTTTAACTAATAGATATGCATATATAAAACAATTTAATTATTCTTCTATATTATGTACTTTATTACCATATGGTACCGGCATAGAATGGGCCACATCTTTTCTCGTGGGTATCGTTAGAGGCGACTCAGGGTACTTAATAGACGAAGAACAGTTTTCCTAAACGTCATCAGTTTCAAAGTCTAACCGCGGTTGCCAATCTGTTTGCCAAGTGTGGCTACCACTGCCAAAACTTATAGGAAAGGCCTATGTTCAGCAGTGGACAGGTTTTTTTTTAAATGATACTGATGGAATTGTAGCCCCGCCTGCGCTATCGGTATACACTCGCGGAACACCAGTGAGGGATGATAGGTGAGGATGAAACAAGTCAATTAGCACGTCGTGACGAATTCGACAAGAATTAGACACGATTGTTTCCAGAAGAAACCGCGTGACCGACCTGATAAGGTACATTGCTAGCAATGGGACTATCAAACCCCATTACCAAAAATCCCTTTCCCCCCAGCTGTGCACAATTTACGATTAATACAATACGATGACGTACTTCGTAGGGTAACGTAAGAGACAACTGTCATATAGTTACATTTTACTTTACAATTATCTATATTAATTGATATGTTTTTATTTAAAGTCAATTTAATAATAATGACTGATAACATTTTTTTTTTACTATCAAATATTTTGCAGAAATCGGAGATATGTAATTGGTTTGCCCTCTGCCATGCTGCTCGTAGATATCGGACAAATTAAAACTAATTACGGGTCTAGGAATATATGTGTTGAAATAGTAAACTGGCAGTAAGTAATTTACTATCTTGACTCATAGATACTTTTTTTTTTTTTAATGAATGATAATGAAATGGATAAAGAAATGTTGGTAAGCAAAGAAAGAGATGGGCAGATGACATAATAAAGACAGCACGAAAAAACTGGACAAGTATTGCTATAGATAAGGAGAAGTGGAAAAAAATGGAGGAGGCTTTTACCCTTGGGGACCACTGAAGTGGATAAAAAAAGTTATAATATATATATATATATATATATATATATATATATATATATATATATATATATATATATATATATATATATATATATATATATATATATATAATGTATATACCGTATATATATATAATGAAATGGTAACTTGATCTAACGGTATATACTGGCAGGACACCTATCATCTCTCACTGATAGCCCGTTAGCATACACTAAGAACATACATTCTCACCCATTAAAAAAAGTGTATTTATGTATTTTACCTATATTTATAGTTTATTTATCTATACTTATAAAATCGTTTGTTCTGATTGTCTATTTTACGCCCAGCAAAAACTATTAAGTCAACAAAAAGCTTCAATTTGTAACATAGGTTTATTTTAAAACGTAAGCATTTGCTTTGGAATGATTTTTTGAAATTTTTAAAATTTTTGAAAAATATTTAGTAAGAACTTTTCCTATCAGCAGGACGGACGGTTGAAATTATTTCTATTTTAAGCTACTATAAAATATTTGAATTTATTATTCAATCACTGTATTCAATCAATCACTTGTTTTTATCGATAAGAAAAAAAAAAAAAATTCAATTGTCTAATCTTTGTTTACGATCTTTATAATGTCATAATCAATTATTGATTTCCCTGTAAACCTTTCCCGTTACAAAAATCACGCTACCTCACTCTGATCGGCGATTAACACTTAATAACAAATCTATATAAAATGGACATTAAATTTGGTTTAGTAACAGTTATATATATAGGCGACGGTTACCGCTTTCTATCAGGTGGGCCGTCAGCTTATGTGCCATTCTAAATTGCATAAAAAATGCCAACACAACATATATCTGTTTTTAATACTACAAGTTGGTAACAAAAGATATCTAGATATTCGATGTCGTTAATAAACATTATAAGAATGATTACGACGATACATTTTCATTATTTAATCTATCAGGAAGTTTTACCAGCAACAATAGTAAACAAATTTCAATAAAAACGAATTATTATACATAGAACTTTATCACAATATATCAGATAGTATCTCTGTCAGTTTAAATTTATCACTGCTTTTTTTTATAAACAAAACAAATGGCAGAATCTTACAATCTATAGGGGAAGCCCATGATCATCAGTGGATAGATAACGTCTGATACTCGTGTGATGCTTTTTAACGATGAAAATAGAATGGTAACCACGTCTGTGTCGTGTTTTTTTTTTAATGGGTGCAAATGGAATGGTAACCCCGATACTGGGATACGTCGACGAGGCACCAGTGGAAGATGATAGATGAGAATAAATGCAAGTCAGTTGGCACATCATGATGAATTCGACAAGAATTTGACCATGATGGTTTCCAGGGGGAACCGCGTGGAGGTCGACCTGAGAGGGTATATTGCTGGCGTAATACTAGTATTAATATACTACAGTGGGGATATAAGACCTCGGTAGAAACACGTACAACACAGAGGTACCCAAGCAATCGACTTTTGTACAAAGTCTCCCTCTGGTACATTTACATAGATAATTTACAAATCTGGACAAAAACTGGTTAAAAAAACATTGTTCTATATTTCTTATGGCATATATCACAAGATCTACCATAACCAAGCTAGTTTTTAAACATAAATTGCGTACGTTTTCCTTAGAAAAATAATATTCCATTTAAACTTAATCTTGCTGGTTACTTTGTTTGAGTCATAAATTGTTATTTGCTTTTCTATTACAGTTAATTGTTTTATGTAGTAATATATTATGTATGTATGTATATTATATGTATTTATTTATTTATTATATTATATATATGTTTATATTATATGAATTAATCAAGTATTGCTTTTTTCGTCTATTCAAAAATGCACCGATTTCTCTGTTCGCCCAATGGTTGACTGGTAGAGAACACCGTCTGGGGTTAAGTCCGCCAAATGTACATAAAATTTTATTGTGTATTAAAGTTAAACTTTAAATAACTAGTAATAACTTTAAATAAATAAATAAATATTTTCTTTTCTTTCCCAAATTTAGAAGATAAGGGAAGAAACAGTACGAGTGTTTTGTTACATTTTCAATCACAAGTCGAAAGTTGTTCAATATCTTTACCCCCTTATTTATAAAAACGTCAAAACTTTCATAAACTTATTTTAGCAATTCAACTGTTTTGTCTCTTTCGCTCACACTAAATTCCCAATTTGAAAGAAAGTGACAGAATAGTGAAATAGTCTTTTTATGTAACTTAAAATGGTAAATAAACTGGCGGAATCTGATGGAAAATGGTAACAGTCGCCTATAAAAATGAGCAGTGCCATGGATATAATAGAGTATACTGTTTCGCTCATGATACCCCCCATGCGTTACCATTCCTGGATATTAAGATGTTATGCCTCTGTACCTTGTAAATTCACGCCATATCCCACACTTTAAACCGAAACACAGCCATGCCAACACAATTGCTTCACGCTAGAAATACTAACGAGACAGATGTACCTAAGGAAACGACTTTTGCACAGTCTCCCTCTGGTGACTATCAAGAAATACTCAACCAATCTTAAAAACTCTTTGACCTACAAAAAAGCTACAATATCAGCTGTTAACATGTATTGTATTTTTTCCAAAAAAAAAAACATGTAAAACCCGGGCGGGTAACTAGTGATAGATAAAACACGATCGACCCTCTGTATAATCCCATTGCTTTAAGCTAATACTTTAATCTTTAATATGCCGTTTAAATAAAACATGATTGAATGTAATTCATTATCTGTGACAAGTAAATCGATTTGTTTAGGTTGTCTTAGTACTAATTTCCGTTATCACTGTGCCAACACAACGATTCCCTGGTGTGATAAGTCGGCAAATATAATTATTATTTAAATCTGTAAACAACTGTGAATTTGTGTGGCCGCAGTGTTAGTATGGTACTTGTGCCTGACAGGAGTAACGTGTCATATCCCTGCTGTGTATCTAAGTGTATACCTATACTTGTGTTTCACTTGAGTTAACTACTTAAACAAAAAAAAATAATAATTGAAAAAAAAAACAATAAATTCCAAACCGTGTTTGTAATAAATTAATACTTTTTTCCTTTTCACGTAAGTTATTTTTTTTTTTTTTATTTTTTATTATTGTTAAATATTTAAAAAAAAAAGAAAATTCAATTCGATTCTACTTTTTTTTATGGACGCGATTTCTAATACAATTTTAAATGGATTTTTATAATCGTTACTGTTTATTCTCGTATTGATTATATTTTGTCATAATTTAATTTTTTTTTTTTGACAATTTTTTTTTATAATAAAACTCGACATTAAAAATAATATAAAATTATTCTAAAAGTGAACTATTTTATTTATAAATATACGAATGAATTATAAGACTGGTCCTGCATTGTTATTTATTTATTTATTAATAAATTGCTCTCTTCACTTACAGTTTTCCAAAAAGTGTTTAATTGTTCTTTTAGAATAAATATAAGAGGTTCTTTATATTAACTATTTTTCTGTTTTATTGATTATTTTTCCGTTATTTATTTTTTTTTTTAGGTCAATTCAATATTAATATATACAAGAATTCAAAATTTATTTAAGTTGATATATTTATTTCTTATTTTAAAGATGTTTAAAAAATATTGATGGTGGGCTCAAAAAGGCAGATTCATAAAAAAATACTATTAAAAATGCTTATAATTCATTTTATCTACTTGAATAGAAGTAAATTTATAATTTTATTTACATTCTATTTCGCCATTTTTAACATAGTAAATACGTTAGAAGTTATTTTTATTTTATTCCCCCTTTAATGGGTAGTGTAATTATTCCATCATTTGCCCCTTAACATTCTTAGTTTGTTACCTCTTCTAAACCGATTTGGAAAATATTTTTTTATCTGAAAAGATATACTTACAGATTGGTCCCATGGAAATATTACCAAAATTGATTCAATAGCTTAATTTTTAGATCAAGATTTTGTCACTTAATGAAAGTAGATTTTTATTTATAGGTCACAATCTTTAATTATTATCTATACTTACAATAAATCTGTAGAGAGGTCAATTCTGTACATGAAATATATTTCCAAAATAACTATCAAGGGCTGATTAGTGATCGATACTGACGCCAAAAATGCAATCAGTAAAATTTTTGTCTGTCTGTCTGTATGTTCGTTATAGAAACAAAAACTACTCGACGGATTTTAACGAAACTTGGTACAATTATTCTTCATACTCCTGGGCAGGTTATAGTATACTTTTCATCACTAGAAGTATATCAATAGAAGCAGAGCAGTGAAGGGAAATGTGTCTGTTATATCAGAACCACTGAACCGTGAGGAAGGACATAGGCTACTTATTTTACGAAAACGACGAAAACGCGGACGAAGTCGCTGGCAACAGCTAGTACATAATAAAGTACATATATTTTATTATTTTGTTGATATATTTAAATCATTTAGGCTAATTAATTTAATATTGATATTTAAGGACAGTTTTCGTTAGCTGTGTATATACGGTTCTGTCACGAACTAAACTTCGCCTAAGTATATTGTGTGAATGTACTTGACCATTCGCACTAATAGATTAATGGCCCTTTTAGTGGCAAGCCATTGTCCAATCTCGCGTTGTGATACAAAGACGACACATTGAATTGATAAATATAAGACCAGAATGCAGGTCTTTTTCTATCTAATCTATTTTTTTTAATGGGTGATAATGGAATGGTAATCCCACCCGCGCTATCGGTATACACCGGCGGGGCACCAGTGAAGGATGATAGGTGAGGATAAAGTAGGTCAGTTAGCCCATCGTGACGAATTCAACAAGAATTGTTCACGATGGTTTCCAGGGAGAACCACGTGGAAATCGACCTTATAGGGCCGTATTGCTAGCAATGGGGCTGTCAAACTCCATTGTTAACAATCCCTTTCCCCCAGGATGGAGGTATCAGTACGTCGTAGAAGCGAGTTAGGTTTTCTAATCTTCAACAGGATTTAGCTAAACTAGAGGATGATTTTGTACAAAAAAGGCTATTTGGACCTCTAGTGAGGTTAAGGGCGTTTATAATTAGCTTGGCGAAATGTAGAAATATTACAGTTATCTTTTAGTGTTTTGAAAAATAGTTCGGACTGATGCGTGCTGCTGTTTTTCATCACCGTACAACCCGCTGCAAACTAAAGTTCCATCCCAACTATTTGGATTCGTCAGCCGGCGCTATTTACAATAGTGCCGGCTTGGCCCTTTGGGCCTAAATATAGTGACGCGCAGACGGCAGCCTGCGCAGTTGAGGCTCGGGTACTCGAGACCCGTACCTATAACCCCGTAAGGGGTTGTGGATGAACCGCTGTCTGTCTGGATTAGTGGCGGTCTTCCACCATGCATGTTTTAAGATAAAGTACCTTAAAACATGCATGCACACATGCACAACCACGTTTTAGAATCAACTTCTTGCAACAGTATTTCCGAACCGATACGACATCGTAAGATCCAAGAAAAGAGCATATTCCTTTTTAAAAGGCCGACAGCACACCTGCAATGCCTCTGGTGTTGTGGCTGTTTATGAATAGCCTTATCATCGTGAGCCGCATGCTCGTTTGCCTCCTGTGTTATAAGGAAAATAAACAAAAATATGTCAATTTTCAATATAAAAGAAATTTTACAATTATCATTTTTTTTTACTTTTTTCTTAAAGTTTTCTGCTGCTAATGAATTGAAAGATTAATCCTGCAATAATATTCTTATAAAGTTATGACTAAAAATTTGAATTTTTATAGCATAGATGTATTTTAAAAACGCTTAAGCAAAAAGTAGGCGCAAAGTTTTTAACGGTAGATTTACGTGCAACGTAATCAATAATGTACGTTTTAGTTAATAAGCAGAGCGTTTTTTAAATAATCAATCGGATACATTGGAAATTGTTTCATAATCATCAATGCTGAACATAAGTCTCCCATCCCATCTTGCAAATAAATATTCATTCATTCATTAATTCATTCCCCTATGGGGGGTTATGACAGTAGTCGCCACGCTTGGCAGACGGGTTGGAAAATTGGAAACTGTTTAATTATGTTTGAAAGAAGGGCCAAATTAAAAGTACCCGTAGCCGGCGAGCGTGTATGAAAAGATCGATGCGTGTGGAGGAAACGAAAGAGGTTTGTTCGAATCGAAGCATTTGGCGTTCCATTGTTTCTGTCTACCCTAATGGGAGACAGGCGTGACAGATATGTGTATAATGTATGTATGTATTTAAAAATTGATAGAATTACATCATTCTTTACTGGTGCCTCGCCATTGTATACTAGTAGCGCAGACGGGGTTACCATACCATATTTATCGCATTGATATCACACAGTGCTACAGAAAATTATAAAAAAAAAACTCCCAATGCATTACAATGTTATTTCTGAACGTCTTTCCGATTACGGTAAATTTTACTTCGTTTGGATTAGTCATTAGTCATTAATTAAAAAAACAATGTACATTGTGTCTGAAATAACGGATAAACATACAAAAATCATTACATTAACCTGAATATTACAACCATCCAATAACTATAATAATAACAATAAATTATAATAAATAAATTCTGCAATGAACAGTGTCAATTTCATCGTAATATTATATACACATGTCAAATTAATTTTTATTTAAATTTAGATTAAATACTAAAATGTTATATACATTAGCGCGTCATAGAGTAGCATGATTTTAGGAAATGAACAGTAATAGATACATGAATAATATTTTAATCTCTTTGATTTGAAAATAATCGGAATTAATTTATTAGAATTAACACAATCAGTTAATCGCCAATTGTACACGTATTAATGAAAATGTAACCTAATTCTTTTAAGATCGTGATTACAAAATTGCACGAACAATAATTGCATTTTTCTGGGATTTAATCATAATATATGATGGGTAATTGAAAAAAATGGGTAATTTTTTATACGCAAACACAACCTATATTTACTCAGGAAATATAAAATAATATGCTTGAAGTTATAATTTATAATGTACACGATTTACAGAACATGCATTTACTTGAGTATCTTCCTTATTTATAAAAAATAAAACCCTTTACATTTTTAAATATATTTTAAATAAACATATTTTAAGTAGGTACTATATATTATTCTCATTTTCATGTATAATATAGTATATTTTATACATGTGTAAGTTCATGTGTTATTTATATATATTTATTTATTATTATATGTAATTTTAGTATATATATATATATATATATATATATATATATATATATATATATATATATATATATATATATATATATATATATTCTTCCCTATGGTTGACTGGGAGAGAATGCTTTTAGGATTAAGTCTACCATGTACACATACATGTACTAATGAAAAAATAAATAAATACTTTAACTATAACTTTGTTTTGTCACTTTCTTTCAAATTAGCAATTTAACTCAAAAGAAAGGGAGAGACTCAAAACATAGTTAAATAGCTAGAGTAGATGATACTCGTAGATACACGAGAGGTTTGATTTTTCTATGAATAAGGGGGTAAAACTTTGTATACTTCATGGGTACCTCTGTCCAATTCTTGTTTTCGCTGTGAAATAGCTTTAATAATACTTGCATGATTGCTTTTTGGTTTAGAATTTATAATACCACATCATACCTTATCAGTTGTTAAATGCCCATTGCTAAACATAGACTTCTTCTATGTGGATTTTGCCATTAGATGCCAGCCAGGCGAGTTAGCAACCGCAGTTAGATACCAATCAATGCCCATACCAATTAATTATTAAATTCCCTTAGTCGCCCCCTTACAACTCCTTAAAATTCATGGGAAAAGAAGCCTTGGCTTATCCTATGCCCGGACCACAGAATTTATATATATATATATATATATATATATATATATATAAACTAAAATTAATATTACAAACTTAAACTTAATTTTTTCTTTTTTTTTATTGTTTAGTTATGTATTTTATTTTTTTATTTCATTTCAAATGTATTTTAATTTTCGAGTACCTAAATGATAAAATTGTACAAGAACCGGACTGTAAATGGCAATAAATATGAACTTAATTAGCCACTCACTGACTACTACGATACAGGCC